GTTTACAATTATTCATAAAAGTAACTGGGTCATTAAAACCACCGGACAAAATCGCTAATAAAACAATACATTTGAAGGTTAAAATGTGTAAGAACAAATGTTAACAAATTAACTTGAATAAGGTCTTGCAAAATATAAAGGGTAGTGCAAAGATCATAGAATGTCGCCTTCCCAATTATGGTAATGCACTTGATGACACAACAGTCACCTGCGCCAGCCTTAATTGTCATCACAACCTTCTTCGTCATAAATGTAGACAACTATGATTCAGAACTTTAAAAGGAATTTATAGATATTAATAGAAGGTTAACTTGTTTAAGAAGATTGAAAACGACCCGTACATTTCTGTAATTGTTTCACTCAACATTACGAGATTTATTTCTATTAGCACAATTAAATAAGGCAGATAAATGAAGCCGAACGCTAAAACGATTGTTCGAGATAACAATTATAAAATGTTCGAGTTACCGTCTTTCCTTCCTCCAACCGCGTGACCAATTTAGCGAGTTTCAGATAATTTTACTGTACTATGCAAAACAATGTAAACGATTTGTAAGTCCTATTACGGCTGATAATCCAAAATCACGTCATACATAAATCAGCATAAAAAGTGAATCCGGCTCGCGTCGTGATGGACGCGTTATCGAAACCCAACAGACTACAACGCTACAAACGCAAGGTCTGTGAAAATCCAAAGAATAAGATTCGTGTGTAGCAACGCAATTGTCACCGGTTCTCCTACAGACAATAGACTAATTTCTCATCATTTACGTTCAAGCTTCGTCAAACTAACAGGTCTAGTTTATGTCTCCTTGAACGTAATTAACTAGAGATACAATCAAAAATAATGGCCATTCGGACCTGGTGGTCGCAATTACAAAATGTTTATACTTTAGCTTTCGTATCACGAAGGACTTGGGTGCAATTTAAGGTTGCCTATGCGCCACGCTCCGAAAAACATGAATGGTAACGCCCAAAGCGTTGAAAAAATTTTGAAACTCATTGCAAAAGTGCTTGTATTTAACAACGTTGTATCTAACACTATTATCTAAAATCAACTAATTGCCGTTTTCCACATTGAATCTTCGCGATCAGACATTGCAATATTGTATAGTAATTAGCACTTACCGATTTGTAACAAAAATCCTTACCTGCAACAGAACAAAATTAAATTATTTTTTGCAATTAAAGCCACATAATTGGTCACGTAAATGAGACCGAATAAATTCCGTTATGCAACAATACACCTATGTGAAAAGCACGAAAATCTCTAGATGCCGTAACAGCAATTACGGGCGTACGACATAAAGGAGAACAACAAACCATTACACGGAAGATTACATACAATAACTTAACCGTGGCCACTCTGCGAAATTACGAAACAAAGAATCATGAAAGTCGCAAACAAACAAAGAAAAGAAAGCGTGCATTTATTACAAAACCATAGCACGTACTATGGAAGCCATCGTGCGGCGGTGCATCGAACGTATAACCCATTAATATTGCGACCCAAGTTACTAACGATAAATGAAATCCATCCAAAAATGGTAGTTTGCGTCAACGACCGCTCCACTTCCCCATTATAAAAAACATTTAAGCACGTTTTGCATATTTTCGGCGTTACAAAATTTCCTCAAATAAAATGGACGAAGGTTAAACAACACAGTGCGGAAAGCTTACGAAACTATGTAACCCTGAAAGTTTAAGTTAATCATTAACAATAGAGTATACGACAAATACTTCAAACCACTTTGCTACACGGCCGGTGTGAGGCGCGTGCTCGAGATTTAACCGTAAAAATTAATGAATGTCGATATTTTAAATGACCTCTAAATATAATGTAATGGCATAAACAAATAGGCAATCAATTTAAATAAGCCACAATTTCGAAATGTATTCACAAAATAGCACACATAATTCAAGTCTGGAGTTGATAACTACGAGAATTCTCACATTAAACACAAGGCTGTGCGATAAACAACAGTTTCTATTATCTCCACATCTAAGGGAACATAATGGGAAACAACTACATGACATAAGACCTAGGCCGGCATGAAGGTGCGATAGTAAACAAGTTATAGGATGGTATTTCGCCTTGACCGAAGGCGACAATCGCAATGAAAACCGTGACACTATTAGCATTATACAATAACAAAAACAAATCGTTATACAATTAATACAGAATGTTAAAACACATTGTTTTTATTGTATATACAATACTAACAAATTCTAGAACAAGAAAGAAAACTTCACAGTACTGAGTTATCACGGCAATCAACATTAAATCAATTCGTGTTCACTGTATTGCGAATTAAATTTATTTCTACGGAAAATAATTACCAACGGAGGTAATTACCAATATATATCCCGTCAATAATGATTGATTTCTTATAGACACCGATAGTTATAGTCGTTTCTAATAAATTCAAGTAATATTTGCTACAATTTCGAAAGCTGCGACAATGGCGTATCATATCAAGTCCAATTCATTGAACCTCGATTAATTTTGTTACGAAATCACTTACACGACTTACGGTTGCCACAACTTGTCCACGTGCATCGCCGCTGGCGGTAACATACCTGATTAACTTATACCTAAGACATTAAAAACACGCGCTCTTTCCGCAACTTCAAGGAGATCGATGTATGTAATTATGCGTAGGTAACGATTTGTTGAGACCCTGCCTTTGCAATTACGTAAATTGCCACTAAGAACCTTCAATGCCTGCTTACGAACGTCAACCTGTTGATAAATTATATTCCGATACTAGTGATTTTTTGTATATTGAACTGACTAAATTCTGTGTATAAAATATATATAGACCTTACAAAACATAATCTATTTATCGTTGCCCTATAGACGAGGTCGTTGGCAAGACTAGAGAATAATAAGGTAGAATAAACCGGGATTTCCAAAGCATTTTAAAATATCCTGACAGCCAAATTTGGCTAACAAAAGGCCATTGGAAAGTTGTAATCGACAAGTACTGAATACAAATTATCACGTATTACCTACTGTTTCACAATAGCTATATATAAATCTCAAATTCCGTTTGTAAGAAATCTTTTGTTGTTAGGAAAGCAGAAACACTTCATATGCAATTTGATGTTTTGGTATTAACGTATTTCCATATCAAGGTTATATATTTTTTCCTACAATAAAGTTCACAAAAAAGAGTGCGACTTTACATGAATTACAATCTAGCCTATACAATAATGTTCGTGTGCCCGAGATACCGCACTTGCACTTATATTCACTACACTAGGTTTATTAACTCAAAAGGTTTAGTTCTCTTATATCAAAGTTATATAAAAACCTATTAAAGTTGAATATCGAGGGCGAAACAGAAAGCGTCTGTCCCTAACGACCAGAATTTAAATTCACGTTTTGCGGTGACCGCAAAAAATCAGGCACCTCGCATGACAAGGCCACGATACAGATCAGTATCAGTTAAATCTTGTCAACCAAGCGACGTGCATTCAAATTTGTTTAGTGGTTGCATAACCATCAAATTATACAAGGGTATTTTATTAATTGATTTCTATTTATCGTTATTAATTAACTAACTCGCAGTACATTTTCGAATTCCCTATATACCGACTACTCAGAAAACGTAGCATCATCTCTCTTTCAGAAATGCAAATTCAAAATCTTTTAGGTAACACAACGTACACTTATGAACGTCAATAAAGAAATAGATATTAAATGCTTCTACTTTTACATTTACCGCCAGTTCTCAATTCAAGGGCGTAGAACGGACGAGAAGAAACCCTCCGCCACTTTTTAATCGTCAAGTTTTTTGTTTTACAAAATGTTTGTAAGGAGCTGCAACCATTACACCATGTTTCAGATGACATCTTATGTTATTAGTAGTTAATTAACAATAAAAATAATATAAAGATTATATAAAGAGTATATCAAATAATAAAAAAATACAAAGGTTGTGTTCAATGCTTTTACGACTTGTCAGAAAAATGTCAAAAACTTTTAATACTCCATTACATTTTCAACGAATAGTCACAAAACAATCGCATTATACAAGGTTAACTGGTGTTGAAAGGATTTACAAGATTAGTCCTACAAAATGTCAAACTTCTGCTGTGAACTTTTGCCGTGGATATTGCTTAACATTCCATATGAACCTCACTATTGCCGGGCAAATGAAATTGACACAAAAACTATAACAAGGACACCATGAGTCTTATATCCGTAAATTTACGTGAAAGATCCGTTCACATTAAAATATCCAAGCTTGCTTCGAGTAATAATAAAAACTAAAGGCCACGGCAACCTACTGTGATTTGGTATCAGTTTTAAAGAAACATTAAAATGTTAATAGAGTCGGTATACGCCCTGCTACGTTATTATTACATTAGTGCATACCAAAACACAAATTTAGTTCGCCTTATCCATGCAAAATCGCTAAATAAGGCGCGCCTAACAACTTTACTTATTACACTTTTTACTATTGTCAATAAACCCATTAAAGATTAATCAAGCCGAGATAAGTTTTGAAAGACTTTCATATTCAATCTAATGTGTGTACAGAGTAACTTTTTTAAATCGAAGTTTCACAATCGTAAAACAACCTGCATTGCCAAGTAAAATACAATTGTAAAGTGTACGACGCAAGAATGCAATCGATGAATTAATGAGAATGCGATTCGCGGCTGAAATTAAAACAATTGTGTCGCCAACGGCCTTCCTGTCTGGCTTGTTACTTGTTAATTTCCAAATTAAACGCTTGATTCTCAATGCCAGCAGGGTCGGAGGTGGTCACTGCACGAATTTATAAAAAGGCGAGTGGTCGCGCGCCGCACTTCAGTGCTCCAACTACTAGCTGAGGTTTTTGTCTCCACTAATCCTTTCACTTAGCGCGTTCATGACCGAGAACCGCGCGTTCAATTAACAAATTAACTTAGATAAGTTTATATTTAAGGCGATATTGTTTTGTGTGCTTCAAGTGTGGGTTATTAACGTATTATGTACTTGTTTTCAGATGGTGAGAGGGGCGGCGTTAGTGCTGACGTTAGCGCTGACGTGCTGCACAGTGTGTTGCAGCGTCCTTGTGCCGACATATGTATTGCCGCCTGACTCGTTCGTGCGCGATCAGCGTTCGCTGGCGTCCACATCTGATTCACAAACTGCAGAATCACAAAGGACGATCAAACGTCTTATCGGTGGACATATAAAGATTAAACCTGAAAAGGATCATGGAAGCCCGAAAAATTCCATTATTTTTAATGAAAAGAGTGAAAGTGGGAAGTTCGCAAGCGTAATCGCGCCGGACCAGCCGGGCGGCAATGTCGGCTGGAACCAAGGTATTTGGGACGATGGTATGCTAATGTCTAGCGCCGGTGAGGGCAAAGAAACTAAAAAGATAAAGGAAGTTGACGAAGATAAGAAAACATTGTCTGATCAGGTGGCTGAAGGAAAATATGGATTAATTCAGAATGAATTATTTTCAAAGACGCCGAAACGGCCAGGAATATTAAGTTACGAGCCAAACACTGAGACTAGATCGAAAGACAATTTACAAAGCTTAGGAGGTCTGAAGAAAGACGAAATTTGGCTCGCAGAAGATCATCTATTAGTGATAAAAGGGGGATCATTCCCTGAGCGTACAAATGAACCAGAACAAAAAGTATGGCCACCCATAGACAACTACGAGGCGCCTAGAAGGCAAGTAAAACTACCAGAAAAACCAAAAGTTCCACCGCCCTTTCCCGTACGTCTCTCCGACAACGGTCCGCTCGTCTTCCTTACGCCTAACGGCAGTGTCCCTGCGCCCATTTTCCCTCCCTTCCCTACGGGAGAAAGCGAAGGCTCTCTACCGCCACCGTCATTCCTTTATCCACCAGGAACGTTCGACTCCCCGAGTTATAATCAAGGAAACACTACTTCCGGGGGAGCGCCGTTGCCAGGTCCTCCGTTCCCATTCCTTCCCGGGAATGCGAGCGAAGGGGCATTCCCTTTCCCTGCATCCATGAACGGCTCTTTTCCAGAAGGTTTTCCTCCGGGCGCCGCCTTTCTACCACCACCGAGCAACCAGTCAGACCTGTACGACGAAGACGACCCTTCGATATACTATCCGCCGCCTTACAATTTTTCTTATCGCAATGATTACAAGGGTAACGTTCCGGCTGGACCTTTAGTACCTGGAATAATTCTTCCACCACCACCGGACTTTTTTGCGCCAGACGAAGAAAAGGCCACAAAAGAAATAAGGACTACACAAAGCCCACAACCGACTAATACACGTACTAAGAGTACATCAAAACGTCCTTCACCAACACCTGTAACATTCAGAGGAAATTACAAAGCCAGACTTACGACCACAGAGTTACCGAATACAACAGAAACTCCTATAACTTTAACAACACCATTGGCTAATGAAATTCCAACTACAACTAAATACAGAAAAACGCAACGTGTTATACCCAATCGACACCCGATTAAACATTATAACAATGAAGCAGAAATTATTACGAGACCGAAAACTGAGAAACCTATCTACAAAACACGGACAAAACTTACTTCGAAACCACTTTCAGTTTCAGTGTATGATTACCCAGAAGTATACGAGAATAAGCAAACGACTACGACACAAAAGCCTTACGTACAGTACAGAGTACCAGAAGAAGAACACATCAATGACATTTCTTCGACTCCAGCAGTACCTTTACGAACATATTATTCAAACGTTCAAAACGATGAAATACCAACAACCAAATTACAACCCGTGTATAACAGAAAGCCAAATGAGAACGCTGTAGCTTCATTTTACTTCTTTGACGAGCAACCTAAGACTAGACCTCCAGAAAGTAATTTTGATGGCCGATACTACTACCAAACTGTACCCAGTCAAGCTTCATATGCACCTAGACCAAATGCTAATCAAGAGTCTCAATACCAGCCTGGAGTTGGCGTTGCTTACGGTACTTTCGATCAAGGAGATGCTTTCTTTTTATTTCCACAAAAAGAAGGAACTCGTACCTTCACACAAGAATACTTCAGTATTCAGAAACCGCGTCCACAACCTACTTATGTGCCACAGCCTAAAGCAAGACCCGACTCATTTTATCAACAAATCTCCGATATTCAGCAAACAATTGACTACTTCACAACAAAAAGACCAAAAGCCCATCGACCACATTCTACTAAACAAAAGCCAATCACATCACGGCCGGTTTATCAATACAGTTATGAAAGCAAGCCAAGACCCGAAAAATTAACATTCCGGGCACCAAAGCTTGATCCTGAACCTTTCCGTCCGATGGTCAGCTACAGCAAACCATTCAATGGCGATAATGAATTCAATGCAGTAACACCGTCCGCTGCGTCTCCGAATTATCAGCAATACCTAGTCGAAAACATTCAAGTAAGCACAGAAGCCCCAACATCATCCAGATATTATCCACAGACAAAATTAAGAGATGAAGACTATGAAGACGTGCCAATCAAGGAGAATTTGCCCGTCAATAACAGAAATCAGATTCCGGTACAAACTGGTAAACCAATTCATCACGTAAATAGACATCCTAGTACTACCCCTAATCCAATTAGCAACGGATACTACACAAAACACGACGAGCGATATATCGATGACTTCACAAAAAGTACGTTTGACATATTTGGTCAAAAACTTGACGACGGAAATCGGGATGATCACGGCTTGGCTGTTACTCCACCCCTTGAAACAGTTAAAACGCCCATCGACAACAACATAAACCTTCAATATGCCTATGAAATCGTTGAATCTCAAAGTCCTAACCCGCCGTCACTGCATGGAGACACTGATGTCAACCATAGACATCCACGCCCACCTGAAAACCCAGACAGTGAACAAGTCCATCCGTCACAAGCAAGCGCACAGCTTGTGGAGCCTCACAGTCCACCATCTCTTGCAGGAGACACGGTTGTCAACGACAGATACCCAAGACCGCCTATACACCCGGACAGTGAGTTTATACCCATACCAAACCCTAATTATCGAAGAGGACAGCAATATAGAGAACAACCACAAGAGCCTCAGTATACTGGTGAACAGTACGACCTGAATAGGCCATCGTTGGTTGGAGACACAGACGTCAACTACAGAAGGCCTTTACCGCCAATCAATCCTGATGCAGAATGGATTGGGGCTGTTAACGCCGCAGGTGAAGGTCGACCGGGATCTCTCATTAGGTATAGGCTTCCTGGGGAAGGAGCGCACGTATATTTCCTCACCCCACAAGCGGCACAAGCCGCCAGGGAGAGGTACAGAGCTCCCGGCTACGGACGGTGAAACCAAAGCTCTAGTCTGAACTCAACGTGTAGTGTATATACAAAGCGCAAATGTGATTTATAAGTGTCCTAAGTAGTGTAAGAACGAAAAGACTAGCGGTCATCCGCAATGCCATATTATTAATGTGTTAAACGATGTGTTTCGCGGACGTTAGCGGACTGAACGTTATTATTAATAGCTATTTATTAAATTATTGTTAAGTGACTGGTGCAAGAGTAGAAATAGTTAATTTATTTGTTTGTCAGTATTTTCGATACGCTCACGTGAATTGTGATGTGTGAGTATTGTTATAAACATAATGCGAGCATAATGACTGTTATTGTAAATTGTATAAAACAAATATTTGTGATTTGTAATGACTCTAAAGACTACGAAATAAATTTATTAAAATTTGTAATAATTTAAAATTTGTTTCATTTAAAACTATCTATTATAAAGTTTGGTAATTAAAAATTAACAGACTGAACACTACGAACACTAGAAAAATCTATTACAATTGTCAAGTCGACAAATGATAGTCACTTTAATACTTAAATAAAATTATCCAGTAAACAGTAGCATAAACGCAATTAATAATTAGTTAAATTAACCTTACAAATTGAAATATGACCGTGAGCTGATTATGTCGCAAGATTACTGACGGTCATTCTTAAAAAACACTTACCAAAATGTAACTCATTAAAAAAATTAAGTAACCGATTATGTTAAATTGGGGCATTTAATATGATAAGAAAAGCAGCAATTTACTTAATAAAAATTTGACTTTATTACGAGTTGAATCTTGATCTATTATAAATTTTGTTACACCACAAGCCCAAGCGAAGCGACGCGATTGAAGTATGATAATTATTTGTTGTAATAAACGGCTCAGGACATTCTAAGAGATTAATTTTTCAAAATTACTTGTATTCAATCTATGTAGGTAAGGGCCGATTTACATTATCTTAGTGTTTAGGAGAGTATTTTAGTACAACTTGAAAGGCAAGTTCTTTAGTGCTTTAGTGCGTTGCGAGTGAACGTTTACATTTCTTCCAGTAGAGTATCATTACAGCGCCACAATGAACGCGCAACGACGTCGGCAAATAAGCTCTATTCTACGCAAAATACTAACTGTAGTTATGGAACAAATAGAAGTCGAGATTTTATTCAAAATAAATAAACTAAATATAAATAATAAATAAAATAGCTTCTTTTAAGGCAGTGTATGCCGAATGCCTAGCCTGTTTGTTTTTGTATAAATTGTTTTTAACGTTCCACAAACATTCGTGAACAACATATTCAGACACAAATTTGATAGTTGTATCTTCCGACCATTTAGCCATCTTTAAAAATCAAAAAACACGCACGCGTTTCACGGCACTTGTGCACTCTCCTAAAGATTTTACTAAATTACGTGTTTACACACAACGAGGTATCACTTGAAACAAAAATAAAAAGCGATTCTATTTTGATTCAACGTGAAAGTCAAGTAGAACCGTACTAAAGCAAGTAGCGTTTACATGTTTCAACTAAACTACTATCCTATAGCACTCTGCTAAACACTAAGATAATGTAAATCGGCCCTAAGGTATGTATGGTTGTATGAACCAAAGCTATACATTTTGCTCACTCATACTTTCTTAATTTTACAAGCGTGGCGATTTCCTAAATCATTCATTCGTTACATAGCAATTAACAGTTTAGTATTTCGCTTATATTCTATTATTATACGCGAGTGGTTAGTGTAGAGTAAAAATTAAATCCTCTATTATTTAAAGCACCCATAAGAGTGGAACCGTACAATGATGCTTTTTTAATGAGAAATATAATTAGATATCACTTCTCTATTAATAAATCAAGGTCACAAATAGGTCAAAACAAAGATCAGAAGTCATAACGTTAGAATTGAATTTTAAGAAGAGAATAATTTGTATAGAAAACCTTTGCTTAAAACTAACATTATCGTATAAAGTATCGTATTGACGTATACTACCTGGAAACTATTGTAAAATCCGTGAAAAGGGTCTATAGATGTTGTGTGAAGCAAGTTAGTTGAAGCTCCTTACACACATCTTGTAAAACAATTTTTTTGACGTTCAAAAGAACGCATTGGAGTCAGAGTTAGCGCTAAGTACTGTGTTATCTAAATTAACAAATTATATTTTTTTATTTAATAAGTTTTCCGCCTTAAATAGCCTAATTTTCCTTAATTAATTTTATTATTTTAGTGTTAGTTAATATGACATACCTGTATCTGGCTCTGAAGTCTGCGGCGCGTCCTCTAGGGGATGGCTGTGAAGTCTCAAATACACTTGTATAGCGACGCGTGCGCATCTGAAGTAGAACGGATGCGCTCGTAACACGTCTTCGAGGCGGAGCAGACCGACATACGAACGTAACGTCATCTTCCGCATACAGTAGGAGTGGAAGTCGAATTGGTCTTCCATTATCTCGGAGAAATGCTGGAAATTTAATCAATTTTAGATAAAGGATGTCGTAGTATTAACATCGTATTTTTTAAGCTCACTCTTCACTAATGAGTATATGGCCTTAATCTTAGTTAGGACTTTGTATGGAAAAAATATTTTTTGTCATCATGTTAAGATAATATACCTAATAATATATAGCAGTAGCGCGTATGTCTTCGAGCCGTTACTTCAGCACTGGTGCCACGGTGGAACTCGTACTCGTAAATAACGCGATCTTTCATGTTTTCTATTTTATAAATGCCAAATATATAATACCAAACCAAAGAAGAGATATCTCTGGTCAAAGTGGCCAGAACGACAAAACGCCAATTTCATATGTAAGAACTAAGGACATAATATTACGCGGGTGGAATCGTAGTGCAGTGCAGTTTCATAACTATCTCATTTAAAATATATAAAGTACAGTTTTGAGATCCACAATAAATATATACAGTTATCCCTTCCAATCCATCCAGGAGCAATGTTGGCCTAGTAGCTTCAGCGTGCGACTCTCATACCTGAGGTCGTAGGTTCGATCCCCGGCTGTGCACCAATGGATTTTCTTTTTATATGCGCATTAAACATTTGCACGAACGTTGAAGGAAAACATCGTAAGGAAACCGACATGTCTTAGACCCAAAATGTCGACGGCGTGTGTCAGACACTGGAGGCTGATAACCTACTTGCCTATTAGATTTAAAAATGATCATGAAACAGATTCAGAAATCTGAGGCCAAGACCTAAAGAGGTTGTACCTCCACTGATTTTTTTTTTATCCCTTCTACGATACGGTAGTTTGTTTCCGCGTTATAGGAAACGCGTTGTAGGAGTATTCTCACATGACGTGCTTGTATAAGCCCATGTAAGGCGATATGTACGAATGATTTACGTTTAAATTTTCTCGTAAAAAGGGATTTAAATCGAATATTAAGAAAAAAACCATGTTATGAACGAAATATGTGCGTACAAATCATTATAAATGTCAGTGTATACGCGTTATATGGGGGAATATCCGTGTTATACGAAGGACTGAAATCACGTAATACGAAAATGCGTTATAATAGTACCGTGTTATAAGGGGTACTATATACTGTATATATTTAAAATAAAAACAAACTTCATTTGTCAAATATTCAATTAAAAATTTATAGTATTAAATAAATTACTCTATAAAGTAATTATATTAATTTAATTAAGTAAAAATAATATTTTCGAACATTGAAGCAGTAATAAGCCATCTTTCCACTATGGTCTGCAAGTGAACTTTGGATAAAGTTATCAAAATACTTACTCTATCGACTTCATGTGCTTTTTTTAGGGCATCGCCCCACTGGTGAAGCCTTTGGTATGCCGCTGCAGCCTCCGTTTGGAACCACATACACTGCATTTCATTTAGATTCTCTGTCGCTGGCACACCTGGAATTAATATGAACAACTAGTTAATTTCCGGCTTTCGATGTCCCCAATTAAAAAAAAATTACATTTCTAAAACAATTTCATTCACAGGTAAACAGCCTACCAACATATATGCTTAACTACTATAATATAGAGTACCCACAAACCCAGCTAAAAAGTTTTTAGAACTGGTCACCCCGATGAGACACAAATTGTAATATTAAAATTGAATTAAAAATAACTATAGTCTGGCTAATGAAAGAAGATAATTGAATTATTTGAAAACTTTCGGATGGCAACACAGAATGTCATTGAATTTCTTAGGTTAGTGTGATTTATTGTCTTGATACTTCATGCAAATACTCATTTTTATTTCTATTATATATTTTTTCCGAATAGTTAACAGGGATAATAGCCTAAACTTTGTTTTATTTGATAGAATATTTCGTTTCTGTCGCAGGAAATCTGGAGGATGTAGAAGGAGTCGATGCAATAATGAGAACTTGGTAAGCTCAATGATTTAGAGCAGAAAGATAGAATAAAATCCCAGAACCAGTACTTTAAAGAAGTCGCAGATTATTCCTAATAAAGTTGTGTTTTATAATATAGTATTAGTTTTCCATTTTAAGCATCAATAGTAAAAGACTAAATACGTATTGTAAAATGTAAAAATAATAATAAAATACAATAAAGTAAGTTTAATCCACAAAATATATCAAACTTTTAGGGATACCATACTAAAAAAATTTGCCACGCTTTTTCGTTATCTTCTTTCATTAGCCAGACTCTAATATTGTGATAAATAGTTTTTAACCTACCCTCTCTTGTAAATTTGGCGCACATATCTTCAGCTTGCTTCACATGTCCCGCTCTAAGCATATACCGCGCACACTTGCTGTTCACATAACGATCTGCTGTGTCCATCGCTTGAGCTTCCTCCAGGCATTGGTATGCTGATACTGGGTCACCAGCATGCTGGAATTAAAATAATATATTTATGATACTTTTAAATCCTCTTTTGTTTTTTATGAACTGTGTATGTAATCAAAATATATATGTATTTTGCAATAAATGTTTGCCTCTAAGTGTGTATTTTATTTCAGCTATGAAATTTGTTGAGGAAATATCTAGTTTTGTTTCCAAAGCCTGCATTCACATTTTAGGTGAAATATATAACAATGTTAGTATAGATTTGTAAGCCTGGCATTTTAGTAGATATAGTAATTTAAAAGCAGTCCTATTATAACATCAAAAGTACCCTGTACTACATTCTAATCTAAAATCTAAAAAAATTGATTTCAAGATAATGAGACGAATGTAATTTAATTTTTAAGTTTAATATCAATTATTAATTTTGATAAAAACTACAATGACTGAAAAATTATTTATAATTAATAATATATAAATTAGACTTTTCACCAATAAATGTAAGTATTAGACTTTTTTTTAAATTAACTTTTTAATTTCATATCAATCTTTAATTTTGATAAAAACTAAAATAATCATAGTTTGAAAATTGATGAAACGAAAAAGCAACAGTAAAAAGAGACACATAATTTCATAAGATTTAACGTGGGAGAAAATGAGGAAGCATAATACATTGTGTAAACTTTAAATAATTAGTGTAGTAAGAAGTTTTCACTATAAAAAGTATTTTATAATTAATGAAATTTAAATAAAATTGATAAATTTAATCTAATTTTATAATTAATTATAATTATGTTTTTGTACACTCAGAAAATAATCAACTACACACTTATTTAAAATTTGGCAAAATCACAACGATGCTAAAAAAAAATTCACTTTATAATTCCATACTATAAACAGCTATTACCTTGAATATCCTTCCTTTAACTATAAACAGTTCTATTAATGTAGGAGTATGTTCAATAGCTGCATCTATATAGTACAACGCCTTATCCGTATCCTTTTTAAAGTCAAAATGTTGGGCTGCGAAGTAATAAGACCATAACAATGCACTCGCTGGTTGTTTCACTTCATCAGCTACATTACTAAATGTGCCTAACTTAGACAAATTCTCTATGTATTGTAGTATTATTTGTTCTATTGCGTCAGCCTTGCTTTGGTCCTCATATAATGATCTGAAAATTTGTATGGAATATATAAATATATGTTAATACGCACAAAACGCAAACCTATATATAAAAACGCTTTTTCTCCTTCCGAGGCCCTTTCATCTTTAACCACTTTCTTAAAAACAAAATTATCACTAACATTTCAAAAATCACTTTACATACATTTACTAAACAACTCAAACAATATCTTGTTAACCTGTCATATGCTGATAATGAAAATATTCTTATTGTGCAAAAATAGTGTAAATATAAACGTGTAGAAATCATTAATATAATTTATAAAATACTGTTTACGATTTGACTAACATATCAAAATTAATATCGTTGAATATGGAATTTTTGATAAATTAATAATTATTTACAATTGATTTTACTCTAAAACCTCAATAATACTTTATTTTTAATACTGTCAATTAGCCCATTATCAAACCAACATAGCTTAAAACGTAGTAACACTTAATATCTATAAGACGTCAATTTGAGACATGCCGGTTTCCTCACACTCTAATAACCACTTATATCATCAATCGTCCGTAGAAAAAATCATTTACCTAAGGTCAACATGTAGTGGAGGGATTCCCTTATGCAGGCCATGCCTTAAGTACTCATCCACGAGTTGAGTGAAGACACCCGGACACTCAGCCTCAGTCAATTGCAAGCGTCGGGGTGCTATTGCTTTCGGGAAGTCCGTCCTACATAATACAAGTTTGTATGTAAATATTTAGAATAATGTATAACTTGCTATAGAAAATAATATACACAAGAAATATTGTACAGAATATAAGGAACAATAAAAATGCACAAAGAATTACTTAAGGCTTATTGGCTACAAATGTAAGTTATAAGGATAATCAATTTAGATTGAGGGGGCAAAATGTACAACTCCAAAGAATTAAAGGAACAAATTTCATTTCAGGACAGCCTTTTCGGTTTCTGGTTCTGATGAATGATAATTGTAAACTGATTCTAAACTTGTGCATCGCATGCACATAAAAATCAACCGATTTTTGGATCTCAAAGCAAAGTTTTTGTGCTACTAGAATTCCTGTCTTTTTTTTATAAAACTTTATCTCGCAATCAGTCAGCTAGACTATGATCAGATGTGTTGAGATCTGTTAGGCGTTCAGAGCAAAATCTCCATCGAGACTGCTCCTCTCTGTCAACCGTGTCTATCAAGATTTAGGATTTGTCGCCTATTAAGCCTATTTATTAGGTCCGGTATGGTTAAAAAAAAAATTGTTTTCAATTATTAATTGGAAATATTCAATATGATCTTATATAAAAGCGGGATTTATTTTCTAAAAGCAAAAAACAAAAAGTTTACTATTGCTGCAATACAATATTTCATTACTTACTTATAAAGATCAAAGAAGGCCACTTTTTGGTCAGGGGTAGTAAGCCGTTTGGCTTCTATAAGCTTCTGGTAATACATCACATTCTCTGGATTTCTCTTTAACAGACCTTCATACAAAGATTCTGCTTCCTTAAACCTGTAAAATATTAGGCATTTGTATAAGTAACAGGATAGAACCCAAACAAAGAAGAACAGACTTTGTTAATTTTTAATTTAACTTGCATCTATGGTTTCAGTGGTAATTTATATAATAAAGGACCATTTACTACTGCATAACAAACTATTGGATGCAACAAGTGATTATTAATTCAATCAAGTATTTATTAATCATAAAAATAAAGTTTCTTTTTCGAACAAAATGGTGAAATTTTGAATATAAAATAAACTAGAAAGCCACAAAATTTTAGAAAAACTTATAAAAGTATGTGTCTACTTTCACATATAATTTCTTATGGATACAACTCGTTGTTGTTCTTTTTGATAAAACCTTGTTTTATTTAAACAACCTAAACTGACAATTAATTTGGGAAATTCTTAAAGTAATGGGAAATATCCATCCCATTACTTTAAGAATTTCCTTAACGTACCTTTCCAATTTCAAATAATACTCTCCACATGTTTCTTTTATTGCCAACTTATCAAGTATTTGTGTTTGGAACTTTAATAAATGGGATAGAGCCCTGTCATATTGTCCCGACTCTGCCAGGACCATATTCTGATAGAGAAGTAATTCTGAGTGTTCATAATCATAAGGACCCTTCATCTGATTAGTTCTGAATGCATCTAGAATACTGTTAGCCATTTCATATTCACCCAACAGATGGTAGCTCATGGCAAACCCAATCCATGACGCTCTTTGTGTTGGTCTTAATATAAATAATTGGTAGCGAGTATCCTGAAAACAAGATTAAAACGTTGATTAAAAATTGTAGGCATAAGTGTATTTTTTATCCTATCGAAATTGATTTATACTAAAAATCAAACCCATAACCTGATCCTTAAATGTATTTAATACCCCAGTTGAATAAACTAGAAGACAGATTGCATGAATTGCATCCTTATATAAAAATATTTTTAAAATTATATCTCAAAATAGGCATAATACAAGTATGTAATCCATATTATAATTAGAAATAAAATACATACATAACAGTTATAATACATGTATTTGTATATATTCAGTAGCAATGTTTTGGGAGACATGTGACATAATACCTTTCAAAAAATAATAAGTATTGTAATTAAATTATTGAATATAAATCTACATTACTACAGTGTATACTACATGACATATTTTTATTTTATCAATTATTTTTAGAGTTATAAGTAAAAAATTTCATAATTACTAATTAAATACCTTATATCCCTCCAGATCTCTCATTTGAATTTGTAATAAGGATAGATCCCGAAGAATCTGAATGTTCTCCTTTTCCCATTTGAGAGCATTTCGGTAGCATTTAATTGCCTCATCATACTTTTTGTCAGAACGTTGAAGCAACCCATATACATGCCAACACACTGGAGACTTCAAGTCATTTCTAAGACCCCTACGGACATATTCATATGCTTCTTCCTTTCTCCCAAGGCAATTTAAAGTCAACCCCTTCATAGCCAATGTCTCTGAAAGGTAATAGATGTCACTTTTTATAAATTTTGCTTTGTTTACATTTAAACCAAATGAATATAAAATACTCTCGGTTTTAATTACCTCCATGTTCAGCAAATTTGGGGCTGGACAATATTTGTTTTGCAAATTTCAACCCATTTTTGTATTGTTTATGCTCGTAGCAACGCTGTAAATAATAGTATAAATGATAACATTTTATGGTTAACCTATATAATTTTTTTAATACTGCACACTTGTTATGATTAAGTGAAAATAGTTACGTAAAATTATAATAGCCTAGAAAAAAATAACGCATCATGATTTATATCTTTAAGTCAAGATAAAAAAATTCTGCAAGCAGGCCTTATTAACTTTTATTTAGAATCTAAAACAAAAATGTCAAACCTTTAATAATCCGAATATAGACCTATGTTTATAATGAAACTTACCAGAATTCTTTTAAACAGAGCATTTTCTTTAGGCGGCAAAGGATTACTGGGCGGCATTTTGTTATAAATATGTGAAAATGTTTCTTAATAATTCACAAAAAATTGAAATATTAGTAAAAACCTCGTGGCTATAAACCAAAGAAGTCGATGATGGATTTGGATTTTGGGCCTTTGGGTAAAATTCTGATTGTTGTCTATGGCTTTAGACATATGTATAGTCCTTTTCACGAAAGAAGTCCCCAGACGCGCGCTGCAATCGCATGACGTAATGTTGCCATTTATGATAAAAAATTTACTTATTTTATTTACATTTAGCAGATGTAATTTATCAAATAATACTATTTTCTGCGTACTTCGATGAAACAATATATCTGTTATGTAAAAGTATATTTTTATTTACTTATATTGCGGTGTTCTACCTACTTACAGGGAAAAGATAAGAAAATAGGGTAAAGAAAAGCAATACAATTGTTTATTCAGAGTTTTATTGCATAATTGTGATCAACGGCCATAGGGACATCACTGTCCGAAGAGTGTATTGAAACAGAATCAGATTTGTTTCAGTATCACTAGCAGTTGATATAATTATTCGGTCCATCACTTCATCCATAAGGCCGTCATTTTTTAAATATTCCTCCTCTAAATGTTCGACATGCGAGCACTGAGCTGTCCAATCTTCAGCGTAATAGATCAAAGGCCTCTTTAGTTAATTTTAATATTTTTTTGATGGCCAGTTCTTATCCGCCACCTTTCTTTTTACAAGGCTCCAGATATTCTCAATCGGGTAGGTCACAATGGTAAGGCGGCAACCTTAATACTTCGTGTCCGTGAGCTGTTAATAATTCATCCACTGCAAATATCGGTGGACCTTTATTTTGTTTGATTAGCTCATACAGCACAACTTTGTCCAGGTGTTTCAAAATATATACCCTTTTGCCGGCCACTCTTGCATACTACTTTTTATTTGACATAGAAGGGCTTTTTATTGAGTGCAATGGTAAGGAGCGTTATCCATTACCACAAGCGACCTTTCAGGTAGATTAGGTATTAGTTTTTCCGTCACCCATTTTAAGAAATTTGCTGAGTTCATGTCATCGTGGTAATCTGAGGACTTTGATTGGGATTTGAACATTAATAATGCACCATTTATGAATCCATCTTTTGTTCCCGCATGAGCGATTATCCAGCGACTCCCTGATGATTCTGAGACGAACATTCCGGCTCCTCCTCACTCTGCCAACAACGTTTTGTATGATAAGTATTGTGTATATAGGTTCATCTAGTAACAACTGGTCGTTTTTCCACAGTGCGATTTATTCGTATTTTATTCAAATATCTTGCACGCCATGCGGTAATGTCGTGGCGTTCCATAAGTAGTTTTCGTCTGGATTGACATCGCTTGTACTTGAAACCAATTCTATTTAATATCCTGTGCAAGTTGTGAGCTTCCTGATAATTGATGACCTTCGCAGAGCTGCCCGTAATTTAACCAATGTTGGTAATTTTTATGTACGACGTAAAAACTGTAAATTTTTTGCCGGATAGCGCACAAATCGAACCCGTCTAAGTCGAACTTTTTCGGATGCGGGCGACTCTTCCCGGGTTACAATTTTTTTGAAGTACACGCCGCTGTTACACCTTCGTTTGTAATTCTTGATACAGTTTTCTTGACACACCTGCAATTAAATTATGAACAATTAAAAATAATAGTAACTTTAAGTTTATAATGCTTATGTAATATATGTTTTAATTTCAGTTACCTAGTTTCATCACGTTATGTATTTGTTCAATTTTGTCGTAAAAACGAATTTATATTATCATAAAACTCCCATCAATACAGCAAAAAATTATTAAATGGCAACTCTAAAAAGTACCTGTTATGGCGGCAACTCTCTTCCGAACATTGTTTAGTGGTATTAAAACACCTTATTCTTTTGTTCCGCTTCACAGAACTCTTTCACCTTTAATATCAATTCTCGAGCCGAACTTTTTACAACTTTTGGCATTGTAATCAATTTTAAAATGCACTAAGATAGTTAAAAATTCACAAAAATCTACCACAACAAACGAACTTGATAACATCGACGAATGACAACATTGCCGACCTGTCAAATTTAGTTCCAAAAATATCCGCGGGACTTCTTTCGTGAAAAGGACTATATATATTATACATCAATATAATTGAACCACAGGCTATAATGAAAGAAAAGATAAAAAAAGAGCTAATCTAATCCTAAGCAGGGTTCACAACCGTACGATAATTATCGTACATGTGCGATAATTTCATAACTACGTACGATGTACGATGGTACATGACTATCGTACGCAGATTGTACGATAATTTCCAATCTGATAAAAAATTTGATGATTACACAGATAGCCCAATAACAATTACAGTTTTTAGTGTCAGTGCCATCTATTGGCTTATTTTTCTATTAGGAACAAGTAGTCACAAGGCGACTACAGCGGATGAACAAAGCGTTAATGTACAAACACAAAAACGCATCAGAATGCACAGCCAAAAAATTCACGATTTGTATGGTGACGCAGATTCGGAGGTTTTCGATATCATTTTAATACCTAACGAATTTTAAATGATAAAAATAATATACGATGTTTACGGACAATAGGTATATTACTTAGAGCGAACACCATATTGTTCAACGAGAAAATATTGCGTATTTTTGACGGAAGAGATTAAAAGTTGTATTTAAAACGTTAAGTTTCATTAATATTTGCGTATTCTGTTCTTGCAAATATATTCAGTTAAACTTTTAAAAATATGCTTGTTTTCATGTGTCTCTATCCTTTAACATTATTTTGTTCTTTATAAATTTGAAATGTTGGCGCCTTAATCACACTCGAAGTGGACCCAGCTCGGGTCTGTGCCATTCGAACATTTAAATTGAATTATTATTATTTTTTTCAATTTGAAAAACACAAGTTTACAAGATTTAAACTATAAATTGTTTGCAACATTTTATTTTCACGTTTCATACGATTTTTTAAAGTATTTTTAGCCATTTTCCTGACTGTTCGATAATTTATCGTATATGGTACGATAACTGTCTGGCTTCAGGTTGTGAACACTGATCCTAAGACAAAATGTAATGCATGAACTTTAAATTGCTTTTTGCCACATTTAAAAACGACATTCGGTATGCGATTATACATATTATTTATATCCAAATATACTACAGAACACTAAGTTTCCACTTTTATGGTAGAAAACTAATCGGAGAGAAATAATATATACTGAAACTAATTCAGCATAATATTATTTACTAGCCATAATTATTGTAAAGGCTGGATTGTAGGTTATTATATCAATGGTTTAAAGTAAAAAGTTGTAGGTAAATTATAATTAAAACTTCACGATTGAACTTTAAACTAAATCGAAAACTTTCTTGGCTACTTTTTTCCTCATAAAGAATCTATCATAGATAATATATTTAAAATAGTTTTCAACATCTATTGTAATCTGTACACACTACACTTGATTTTATTTTTGATTTAGTGCATTCAGCATTGTGGAAATTGTTATTAGTTTAAAATCGTGACATAAAAGATTTTATATTAGTAAATAATACTATAAGTTGTTATAAACTTAAGCGCTAAACATTGCGTTTGTATTTCGTTAAGGGTCACCAAAATATGGGCTTAGAAAACATGCGACGTTGGCCAATGTATATTGTATTTGCTGTTTGTTTCTTACTGACCCTTTCACTCTTCAATAGCTGGAGTATGGAGACAGAATTACAAAACAAATTGACTGAGCTTAGCACGCAACTGCAAGAATGTTCAAAACATCAAACAACGTGCATGGAAGATTCGTTGCGGCACATTCAGGAAAAAGATAGTTTTAATTCCAAAATTAATGACTTAGAAAATCAGAAAATTCAGTTAAGTAATGATTTGTTAGATTATAAAGATAAAATGTCGAAATCTGAAACTAAAATAAACCGCACATTAGTTGATGTGGAGCTTTGTAAAACAGAACTACAATCTTTGCAAAACTTACAACTAAGCAAATCTGCTACACTTGAGACTCTCCGGTTAGAAAAAGAAACTTTAACTAGCCAATTAGAAGAACGTAAACAGAAGGTAGAGGAATTGGAGAAAGAAATGTTAAGGTTAAAATCATCAATCACAACTAAAAGTGCACCAAACCCTCCTGCACCATCTAAAGTAACACCAGCAGCTCAGCCTCCAAAATTAAGCTCTTCTCTTAATGCCCTCAATCCAGTGAATGAACCTGTTCTTGAAGATAATGCTAAAGAAGAAATTGAAGATGCAAATGTAGATTTTGATCAACAATTTCAATAAAATGTTGTTTAAAATTTCTCTAGGTAGGTATTTAAAGGTTTACAGTTTGTTACATAATATATTGTCAGGATTGTGGCCTATTATATTTTTTTATTAAATTGTTCATCAAATTCTGTTGAAGGGGGAGTAGACTAAAACAAAAAATTTAATTTTATTCAATAATGATTTTATCAACCATCAAGATAAAAGTATGGTGCTTGATAAAGTAATCAGTGGTATATAAATAGAATTACTTATTAACATAAGATTTTAATACTAAGGTAAATTTATAGGCCTGATAAAATACCACTTTAATCATTTTAAAAAGGTTTATCTTTAAAATAAATACTCAGCTACTTAATTTTTCATACTCTGTTAAATGCAGGACCCTTGCAAAGACTAGTCTTGGGGATAGATTATAATTAGTTTTGCCAAAACACTAGATTTGTGAAACAAGGAGATTAGGATGGCAACAAAGAGGCAGGATTTATAGGAGACCCTCTTTTATTTTCCTTTTAACAAACATGTAAAGTTGTATATGTTACTCAACTTCTATTATTGACAAATATTATATTTTTTTTTACTTCTATTAACAAAATATGTGGTCAACAAAGTATTGCAATTGGTAAGCAATGTATATGTAGTATATATAGTTATCTGTACTACCATAGTAAAATATTTAGAAATGTAGCTATTTTTAGGGGCTATGGTAAATTTAGTGTTATTATATATTTTTTTTTTAACATCACAATTTAAATCTTTATATTACGGCTTCCTAAGCATCAATAAAGCTTATCAATTTACAGACTGGGTTTAAACATATTTAATTAAGGCAATAGAGGCATTGACTTATCTATTTAAATAATATCAACAATATTCTTTGTATCTTGTAAAGACAAGTTTTTTAACAATTCTACTGTTGTTCAAGCATAAGTTAAGCCCTGATTTAAAATAGATCAAAATGTAATTATGTATATTTAAAATAAATTTTTTAGAAGTTCAAATCTAATAATTATTAAAAGTATACATTAGTAATAGGTAATTTGTTCTCAAAAGTATAAGTATTATTTTTATATCGTAAAAATATTGCCATTTTGGTGCCAGAAATATAGATCTGAAAAAAAATACTGTATTTTATTTGAATTCAATCCTTAAAAATAAGCTTATGTTTGGTTCCTAACAGTGCACATAAAGACATACTTTGTTATTTATGCAGCATAAAACAAATAAATTACAAATTTCACACTTAAAAATAAGCAACAAAAAGAGAGGCAGATCTAATAATGCAAAATACTTAGGTTTAATTCTTGGCTACCTGATACTGTAGGCGGAACATGCATTGATAGTATCAAGACTAAATTAACCACTCTCGGGAGCTAACAAGGCCATTGTAAAATGTTTAACTTACAATTTATATACAATATTTTTTTAGTCAAACAACCCATGGATTGTAACAGTAATTTAGGGTACAAGGACAAAAAATTACTTCAAACTAAAGAAATTAAAACTTTATTTAGTTTCAACATCTATGTGGAACATTTTGATTATCTGACTGATACTAAATCTTGCTATTTCCTGCTAGTATCCATGTTCTTGAATTGTTTGTATAAGTTTTCTGATGTAAGTGAAACTAAGTATTTATACGAGGAATAAAATCATTAACCCGTAATCAGTTTAATGAAAGAAAATATTTAGCTGGATGTATTTTATTTCTTAAAACATGAGCACAATCTTAAAACACAAACAAAATAACTAGTGGTTCTCTTTACTTTTAAAGTTAAATAAACTTACATATTATTAAGTACAATAAAGCTATGCTAAAATTAAACAAGGAGCATTGTAAAATGCAAGGCCCTTATTCATATGTTGGAGTCATAACTTTACTTTTAAACAAAATATCTTCAGTTAAGATAAAGGTTGGTTTTTATATAGGTATGTAAAAATCGTGCATGCAGCATAATATGGTGGTTTAATATTGTATACTGTTCAACCCTATTTCATCAAAATATTTTTATTAAAAATTGCTACGCAACTCCCAAGTTGTACACCTACATAATAATTAAAATTACATAGGTCATCTATTGTAGACATAATTTTAGAAAACTAAACCCTAAAAAATTATATACTGAAAAGTAATTCTAACATTTAAAAAGTATTTCAATGGTATAAGCTAAAATTTTATCCTGAAAGAATTTCAGGCTTTTTCTTCTTTTTACTTCAACTTATCTAGTGAATATCACTTCCAAGATTTTCTGACTAGTTTAAATCTAAACTTATACTAGTTTTTAAACCAAGTCAAAGAGAATTGCAAAAAGATATTAAGGATTCTTTTGGTGCCCGATATGCAAAACTAACATGCATAACAATGTTTATATGAACATCAAAATCAACAACATTATTAATCATAAAACAGGTTGAGTAGTATCAACCAGATATTCAACAAATTTTAATCGAGTTGTTCCTTTCCTATCTTATTAAACTCAGCTAAAAGGTTACGTCTGCACTTACTCTCATCACTATAATAAATCATCCAAACTATAAAGTCACCCACATTTAGAGGATCCTCAGAATAGCATATCTGTAATTTGCATTTACGTTCCCATTTTGCACTGTCTGCTCTATTATTTCTTGTGCGCATAAACTCTACATAACCATTGCACTCCACAGCCAATTTTGGCAGCTGAGCATTTAAATTCTCATGTGACCTATTGGAATCACTACTTGTTGATGGCAAACAGTCACCTTGGCCACATTCAAGGTTAGATGGTGTAATCTGTTCTTGTACAGATTGGTTCACACCATCACCCTTGTTATTCAATTCAAAGGAACTATGCTTATAATCATTATTCTCATGTAGTACATAATGCTCAAAATTTTTATATTGCATTTGATCAGGTTTTGGCCGTTTTTTGTCTGTGCCATCAAATTCATCATCTGGTCTACAACCTGGCGCCCACTCAGGGCTATTACTAGGTGATTGAAATAATCTCCGTTTACCATTCCTTGGTAGTAATTCTTTTAACTCAGGAGAACACGATGGACTAATGAATGAGTCACTTTTTCTGAAAGACAAAGTTAAATTGTAATTTAAGCATACTACTGTGGCATTCTTTCACCATGTGAACTCAGGGAAATATTTAAGACTAACTCTACAGATACAAACCTTGGAGATCTATTCTGCTTTATTTGGAGCTTTGATATACTTTCCACTGATGTGAAATAATGTTTTGAGTGTTCTACATGATTAGTAAAGAAACTATTCACTTTCTTTCTGGACCGTATTGTACGGCCAAACCATTTCAAAGTAACATCTTCTGATAAATACAAACCAAGCTTTTGTCTTTCATTATCAATGATTTGTTTATACCAAATGATAAAGTTTTTGGCACTCTGGTGTTTGTGAAATACATTTGTTTTGCTACTGGATACAGATAACAATCTACAACTAAATTTACTTGTTCTTTTTTCTGGGGTTTTAGGAGATTTCGACATTTTCACCTGAAAAATTATTAGTTACTTACGATTTTATTTGGAGTAAAAAACTACTACTTTCTATGGTACTACTTACTCCTTATTTTTTAGACAATATATCGGCAACTTTATAAGAGCATTGCGCTTCATCTGCTAACTTTAACCGAAGAGTGGAAATTCGTAACTTACTTTCTTCAATGTAGGCTACTATTGAAGTATTAATTTCTAATAATTCTTTGTGTTGTTGAGATATATTTTTATAAGTAGCATTTATGTGATCTGAAAATTTTGACATATTCATAGTTTGAAACAAAAGATTTTATCTAATTGCCAATTGACTTCCAATTTCAAACTGGTTTACTTACCAAGTTGTCGAGCAGCTTCTAATGCTAAGTTATCCCTACTTAATCCATCATACAGCATCGAATTCATTTTACAACAAGTCTGTATATATTCAATATAAACAATCTAAATTCGAAGTTTATATGTATACAATAATACCACTAAATCGTAAATGCAGCAATAACATATCAAAAATTCCATAATTCCATTTCTCTACTTTAAAAAATTGAATTTAACGAGTTTATACCACAGAGTACAAACTACATATTTTTTTTTTGGATTTATCCTGGTATCTAGACCTTTACCATCAACTATACGACCAGACTAACCACAGGTTATAGAGAGATATAGTAGATAATTATAAAATCATGAAACTAAAAAAATAAATTTATAAGTTCTTGACCCAGGCAGAATAAAAGTAAACCGAGATTTTTTATAATTATACTTCTTTAGGGCGCGTTATGGGAAAATTTATGAGGAGTGGATTTTTTGATGGCGCGCGCACCTTGACACAAAATTGGGAGTGTGATTATAGCGTGGGCGCGAGCGAGATAGGAATAAGACAATCTACAAGTAAAAAGAATAGAACATGCTGAAGTTCGTATGCCAAGAATTTTGAATGACCATAATGACATTTGTCATTTACCTTTTAAACAAATAAAGGATTTTGATTATTTTTCAAAGAAATTTATTAATTTTATATTGTGCAATACTCCAAACTACAACATACTTCTTAGTTTTGGTAGAGGTTTATATATAATAATATATACTTTTAACTGAATAGAATTTATGTTAACTTAATGTAAGAAATAATAATAAATAATTATTTATTTAATTTTTCAAATGTAAACTGAACTTAATTGACTATAATGACTCCTTTTCCAGTCTTTGATTATTTAATGGTAATTAATTATTTCATAATCAAAACTATTTTTAATAATAAGAAGTATAACTTTTCGGGTAATAGTAACACCCTTTTTTTAAATTACTGATAATATTTTTTGTTTTTTGAAAACTGTAAATTTATGGATAATCTATAATTTAGTAAATATATTCAGAGCTGCCATATAACTAAAAAAGGGGTGCGTGTACTTATGTACTGCGAAGTTAATTTCTTTGGTTCCTTTTTTTTTAAATATTAAATAATTAATAATAAATATTTAACGTTAATAATCTAATAATATTTAATATTTAGAATATTATTCAATTATTAATTAATAATAATTATTGTTATTATTTTATTATATTATTCATTCACTGTAATAACTAGGTATGTTTCATAACCTTTTAACTAAGTAACAATAGGTCTTTGTGAAAAAGCATTGCTAAATTTCTTTGAAAAAATAATTAAAACTCATTTATTTGTTTAAAAGGTACAAAGGTCATTATGTTCATTCAAAATGCTTGGCATAGCTGCTAACTTCATGCATATTCTATTTCTTTTTACTTATAGATTGTCTTATTCCCATCTCGCTCGCGCGCGCCCGGCGGCCGGCGGGTTTAAAAGAAGTTGTTAGTGAGTAACTTCATGCTGCGCACGCTCGGCGCCCATAATGATAATTTTGTGTCACGGTGCGCGCGCATCGTAAAATTTCACTCTCATCAATTTTTCATAACGCGCCTAAAGAAGTATAACTTCAAAAATAACTTTCATGTTATGAAAAAAATTGGTCAAGCATAAATTATTGTTTATGTTAATAATTAATACCAATGTAGAATACTAATAACGATCTACACTCAATATGAAGTTAAAAGGACGTCATACATAATAAAAATATTTTAAAGTTATTTATTTACTATATTATTTTATATAGATAGTTTTTTCCCCAACCCTTTAAGTATCCATAGACAAATCTTTAATTGTAGGAATCAGCATTGGATAGCCGAATCAACAGAATAGCCGCGCTTCTCTGGGAGTGGTAATGTGCCGAACCAATCTACTGCGTGCTTGTGATCACTGACATCGACCATTGGTCTATCTTTGCCAACCAATCATTGAAAAACCAGTGAGGAATACCCAATGTAAGTTTACAAATTATTTGTCGAATTTTTAAGTGCAACACGGTGAAATGAGATTTTAACATTGTGTAGTTTGATTTTATTGAACTAGTTGAAGAATGTCGGAGAAACTTATTTATAAAGCAGCCATTTTGATTACGTTGCAGCAAATACAATTATTTGTTTCCTGCTACACGATGACATGGAATATTTTAGATAAAAAACGAGCGATACGTATTTCTTGATAAAACTTAATGGATCTGATGATCTTTTTTGATACTATTGTGGGAGAGGTTTAAAAAAAAACCCCATAACTCAGTCCCGTAAATACTCTCTTACGTAAAAAAATTGTCAGTATTGCGCCAAATTTTCCAAGCACTCGATTACTGCTATTTAATTATAAAAAGTCAATAATAATATATTTAAACTTCAAGACGAGTTCTCAAGATTGTATTAATTTCCAAGATTTTTGACTGTGTTTGTTGACTTAAGTCTAAGGCATTAGGCTTAATAACTTACAGGTGATTTTCTCATAAAAGTCTCTCTCATAAAGACACTGATAAAACATGATCTAACTAATATACACTACTATTACTAGAGTACTTGTCTTGTATTATTTCCTAAAAAAAACGTAAAATTTAATGATTGTTAAACAAATATTCATAAATTTGGTTATATATTAATGAATGGAGTTTCTAGTAACAATATTTGTATTGTTTTTTTTAAAGAATGTAATAGACCTCTTAATCCTGTCGCTATATTTCAGAAATCAAAATGGAGCATGCTCAAATCCAGACATCAGATGGAACCCAAGTGGTGACACTAAATGGGCAGCAATTACAAGTTTTACAGATGAGCAACAGCCCACATGTAGTTCAAGGACCTAATGGACAGCAGATAATGGTTCACTCAGTACCACCAAGTGGGCCTATACAGGTACTTTTATTATTATGAGGTTGTATATGATACTTCGATTACAAGTTGTATAAACATTCAATAATATAAAGAACTGACAATTATATCATTGTATATTAATTATGGGCGATGTGGATTGTTTTTTTTACAATACTCTAACACCATTTTGTTATTTATTTAATTTTGTTTATTTCTATTTCACTATCATAAAATGGGATTATTTTTGTGCACGCATTCAGATTGGAGGTCCTCAAATCCAGGTGGTGGTATCATTATTCTGTTATAATAGATAGATAATGCTTAATTTTCTTTTCTGTGGATATCTAGACTTTTTGGAAGTCTGGTTATTATAGCAAAATTCTTTAAAGCTGTGCTGTAGAGGTTGTAGGTTCTTTTTTGTCCACAAATAAATTAATTTTAAAGAATAATTGCTAGTACATTGATGGGAAACAGTGTCAGTAAACTATCATGTTGTTCATTACAACTTTTATACATTGTGACAAAGGCTAAGGCAAAAGAAAAACAAACGGATTAAATGACAATAAATCAAGTTATCTGGCATATGTTGGAGACTGTGTATTGTATTTAACAATTTGATTGTGTTTGATATCAATGTTAAATAATAAATTTGCTCTTTATAACTATAATAGACAAACTAATGTTTTGTTGTTGTTTTGTAATAGTAATAATAATTGCATTATTAAATAGTATGCATGGTAGGAAACTAATGTATTTGATTAGAACCAATTTTTTACTCTGAAAAAATCTGTTCTAAAACTCTAAGGTTTTTTTATTTATCTCAATATATATAAATTACGTGTCACGTTCTTTGTCCGCTATGGACTCCCTAAACTACCGAACCGATATCAATCAAATTTGCACACCGTGTGCAGTTTGATCTAACTTAAAAGATAGGATAGCTTATATCTCAATTTATACCCGCAATATTATTTTATTGCAAATATTTGTTTTATTATTTAATACAATTCTAACAGATGGCGCTGTGTTAAAAGTACCAACGTTTCACATAAGCTATTTACATTTCACATTAGTTCTCCTACCGTTTCCCTAGAATAGTTTACTACTATGTAATATAACAAAAACCTTAGCCACAGCAACGCTTGCCCGGTCTGCTAGTTCACTATAAAATTGGCTCATATTAATAAAGCAATTAACTATTGCTTAATATTGCCACTTATTTTCAGGTGACTGCACCCAACAGTCAGCAAATACAAGGTCTTCAAGTTCTTCCACTGTCCAGTATTCAAGGTTATTTATCTATATTATGAAATAGTTAATATAACTAGAACTACTGCTAATAATATAAAACTACCCAATGAATTGTAAAGCTCATTCGGGTTTTAAAGTTGTTAAAAAAAACTTTTGCCTGTTTAGGATATCTTGACTTGATGTTTTAACAGCACTATTTATACAGTAATCTCTGTTGCTTAGCAAATAATGCACACACTTCTTATACACCTAAGATCATAGGTTTCAGCTACTGGTAAAGTATTTTGAATGAGCTTTAAAATATAACAATAAACAGAGATGTATCTTACACAACCACTTTATGATAATCGAACTTCCTTATATTATAGTTTAATATATACAGGTGCAAATAACAACATACAGACAATGCAGCTAGTGCAGACTCCAGATGGTCAGACGTTTCTTTATCAACCTACATCCCAACAGATTGACCAGCACCAAGTCATACACCAACCTGGTAAGAGATTGAACTAACTTGATGATCAGTGAAACTTAATTTAACTTAAATAATTTTTGCAAGCTTCCAATAATAAAAAACTAAAAATATATGTTGTCACTTTTTGCTCTCATAGTAGATACGGATTAAGTTTAACTATGTAATTTGTATGACTTTGAAAATGTTTATTTATATCCTTACTGATGTCTATTTAACTGTTAATGTATGCACTTAGACTTGTTACTTAAGCTGAACATCTCTAAACATGGATTTTGCTTTTAAATATCTAAAAAATACATAAACAATTGCACCATATAATTAAAAAAATGCTAGATGTGACTTAATAGTGCACAAATAATATTAATAAATTACTTAAGATGTCATGTGGAACATGGTGTAATGGTTTCAGCTCCTTATAAACATTGTGTAAAACAAAAAACTTGGCGATTAAAAAGAGTGGGGGAGAGTTTATTGCCAGTTCTTCCCTTCCATTCTACGCCCTTGATTTGAGAACTAGTAGTGAATGTAAAATAAGAAGCATTTAATATGTATTTCTTTTTTGACGTTCATAAGTGACAATATATCACTTAAAGTCATGGGTTCGATTCCTAGCCAAATTTTTCGGTTATATGGTGACATTGCTGTCTTTTAACTAATTATTTTGTCAACGATTTCAGTGTTAAATTTCGGTAATATAGTGCAAGTTGCGAACGCAGTTCAACCACAGCAGATAGTCAACCAACCCAATATTGTTATGGTAAGTTGAATATATATATATATTAATTAATAAAAGTATATTTTAAACGACACTCCTTTAATTATAATGTGTTGTTCGCCTATTGTTGATTTATATGTTAGTGCAAAAATAATTATTTATATTTCAAAAAAATTAAATAACTAAACACATTATTTTTTAAATTAAATGTACCTATATTTTTTTCTTTATTTAAAACTAATAAAATTGATAGAACAGCGGAACTTATTATTTAAATAAATACATATTTACAGATGGTAAACGGCAATAGTAGCGGGGCGATATCTAGCGAAGGTGCGACGGCCACCAGCGCCAGCGCAGGCTCTGATGAGGAACCGCTTCTCTATGTCAACGCGAGGCAATATAAACGGATACTCAAACGCAGGGCTGCGAGGGCCAAACTGCATGAACAAGGGCGTATACCTAAGGAACGACCGGTGAGAGAAAAAATAATTTTTCTATACCTTTTTCATGTTTTTTTTAAAATTAGTACCTTTAAGTTGCTATTAGTAATTGTGTATTTCGTTAGTGGGTTTATATAACTAAGTAAACTCTAGACCTATTGAGCCGACTTTTAATAAATAAAAAACTAAAACCAAAATCTGTCACACAATACAAAGCTACATTATCAGCGAGGTTATGGTAAAATTACGCATATTAACCTTTGAGGCCCTTCCTCTATTTAAATGCGCTATCTTGTGATCAATTTCAGAAACTATGAGTTTGAATAATTTTTTTTATATAGTCTTCAGTTAAGATCAAAAAATTATAGTTGGTGATCTCTCTCTTGTGTCTAGAGAACTGTATGGCAGGGAATCGAACCCAACAAAATCGGGTTGTGTGACAAGCGCTTTAATTACTTCACAATGTCGGCGGAACAGATTATTAGTAGACATTAAACATATAATTTTTGAAGTTATACTTCTTTATGCGCGTTATGAAAAATTTATGAGAGTGAAATTTTACGATGCGCGCGCACCGTGACACAAAATTAACAGAATGAAGTTGTCCACGGAAGATGCTACGGCATTGGACATAATTTAAAAACAACATTCGAATAATAATAGAATTTATGTTACACTTAATGTAAGAGAATAATAATAAATATTTATTTATTTAATTTTTCAAATGTAAACTGAACTTAATTGACTATAATGACTCCTTTTCCAGTCTTTGATTATTTAATTGTAATTAATTATTTGCATGCAATCAAAAACTATTTTTAATAATGCCAAAGAAGTATAACTTCTTACGCGCGTACATAAGTACACGCACCCCTTTTTCTGCAAATCGTTATTTAATTGCTAATAAAATTACCTATTCCCAGAAATACCTTCATGAGTCTCGACACAGACATGCAATGAACAGGATACGAGGGGAAGGTGGAAGGTTCAATGCTGGCAGTAGAAGGTTTGTTGGAAAGAAATATATTATTTGCGAGTTTGTATGACTATGTTCAACAAAGTTTTACGAAAAAATCACTCATGCTTATAATTCACATTAGACGTGTTTTTGGATGAAACAAACGAGAAAAAAGTCATCGTATTTATTCTTGTGGCAGATAATAGATGGCGCTACCTGTGATATAAAAAATATTTTCTATAATACTTCAGGAACATGGAGACTCAATCAGATGACCCAGCGAGGCATGGAATTGATGATGTCAAACCAGATGTCTCCATCACTATCATACAGGTGTGTCATTATATTAACTATTTTATACAACTCCATTCAACAAATTTCAACAATAAGGCCTTGTAATAAGATAATATAGAGGTAATGAAAGAAATGCAATGCGTATTTTTTTTAAATATTAAGGAAAATTTACAATTTTAACTAATAAACAGGTTGATTTGAATATAAACTTCCGTGGCTTAATGTTATCGAAATATGATGAAAATAGACCCAAGTTGCACACCACTAAATTTATAGTCTTCTAAATTATATAGATTTTTTTTATAAATATCTCAAATTTAGAAAAATCTTAAATGTGAGCATTGCTGGAGTACCTTAAGCGTGCGACCCTCAATCTGGAGGTCTTGTGTTTGAATCACGGCTGTTCACCTGCTTCTACGGTCTCTTGCTTTTAAACCCAAAAATCTATGAAATGTCAGATAGAAGGCTGATCACCTACTTGTCTATAAAAATTAAGATAATCAAAGAATCTGAAGCTAAGACCGATTTTGGGTTGTAGTGCCACTGGATTATTATAACTATTTAGGTGAACGTTAAAAATTTTAATATTTTAAAAATATAATTCTAACAAACATACTAATGCTTAATTGCTATTTCCAGAACGATGAAATTGAAGAACATTCGAACCAATGGAGGAGGCTTGCCCCACACCCTATGCAGTCGGCATAGCGACGAATCAAAAAGCGATGACGGGACACTTAGTGAAATGAATAAAGTGATTGTGGTATAGTGAAGTGTCAAATGCAGGATTGTGGTTTGCGTTGATAAGAGGAATAGTTATTTAAATTTGGACCATAATGGAAAGTTCATTAGAAATATTCAGTAAATTGACTAACCTTGTGAAAATTAACACGGTTTCATATGGATCTACAAATCATCACAAGTGTAATTAATTGCCTTTACTCGAAAAATTGTGTCAATCTATATAATATATAAAGCTATATAACATAAACATTCAGTGCCTAATGTTTAATTAGTATAAAAATATAAAGTTGGTAAAAATTAAGGACAATTTTCAAGATTAATGTTCAAAATATTGAATGTTATGGTCATTTCACACATTCACAGTTATCAATGTAGTAGTTTAAAGAATTCTATTATGGCCCTTTTTTATACATCACAATTTATCTTAAATTAAAAGAAAATTGTTGGTCAGTTATGAATAGATTTGACGTAGATTTTAGATTATGCCTAAGGATTTTTTTATATTCCGATTGTGTTATTGTTAATGTTGATTCAGGGATGATGAAATGATTATTTACCCCATAACTTAAGTTTTATTGCAAAATCAATTGAGTGTTATACATTAGTATTAAACATACATTGTTAAAATCATCTATATTATTTAGTTTTAAGTAGGTTAAGATCTGGGCTATCACAATATAGGTGTAAATATTTTTATAAATGTAATTAATATATTCATTGAATATCAGGGAAGTACAAAATATACACATTTGCATATATTTGTTTTATTTAAACACAGCTTGGTGTGATAAATATTTATTAAAAATCCTACAAAAAGTGAACAAATAATATCAGATAGGTACATACAAATTGGCATCAACATTTTATTCCTATTCTTAATTAATGATACATGATTACTTTCTATACTATAATATTGCACTGATTTCTTAAAACTATCCAAATATAAAACATGTAAAATTGCATTATTATCATTATGTAAAAACTATTGAACTGATTTTGATGTTAGTAGTAAACTTGTGAAATACATATATATATATATATGAAAATTAACAATAGGTATTATATTATCATTTATACTTGATCTAAAAATGGAAAAAAATAAAAATATATAAAATGTCGCAAATAATTTTTCTAATCAAAATACTGTTTTTAGTTTTGTTTGGAGGCATTTTCTCGCACCCGTTGTATTTCTGATTTAATAGCGGATATGAGAGGTAAGGCGGGGTCGTCCGGCGATAACTTTCCTTGCGTGCTCATGAGCGCTGTGTTTACTATAGGTGTTGCTGGTACACGAGTCACAGACTGGAAGCGATTATAAAACTTATAGCGGATTTGTATTAAAATTTACTTATACTTTCACTTATTAAATTTTTTTTACAAAACTCGACAGAAGGACAAAGCTTTTCAAGGGGAACGCGATTGCGTAGTCTGCTTTTTACAATTTGGTATAACAATACTATAATACTATATATCAATCGAAAACAATGTTGGAAATAACTTGAATAATCACCTGAGGCGGTGTGGGTCCCCAAGCGCGAGTGGGTACGCGACGTTCGTTCGCTGTGCGTACGAATGACGTACGCGGACGTATGGAATCTATTGGTGTACCACTGCGACTGTTTGCATGAAAACAAGGTGTATTTCAATAGTGAATAAAGTAGATTAAACCTAGAAGTGCAATTCTCGAACCGAACTGTGTTGCAATAGATTATTTCTATGACAGTAAAGACAAATATTACGACAAGTCTTAGACCAAATATCAAAAACAATTACAGAACCTATAATGATTTTAAATGGAAAGCACGCATGTTATGCCTCTGTGTTGTTACACGTCTGATATCATAAATACTGAAATATAAGAGAAAGTCATTAAAATAGGCAAATAACTAGGTATCATTAGATTCAGTCTCGTAACAATAGGGTGGCAGGGCTGGCAAAATGCCACTGGCCCCTGCCCAAGAGATATAATGTTCTATGGATGAATGTTATGTCTCCAATACGCATTGGGCTAGAGCGTGGGGACTACAGACAATTCTTTCTCGCCTAAGAGAGGAGGCCTATGGCCATTAGTGGGAGATATACCTACAACGTGTAATTGAGTACGCTGAAAATCTCAAAGTTTATTAAAAATAATCTGAGTACAACGTGACGATTTTTACTGATAGGGCCCCATCAAAAGAATTTGCCCCAGATGGTATAGTTATGCCACTGATTATATTTATAAATTCTTAATAATTACCCAGGTCCCGCTGAACGTCCGCGTACAGTATCTACCATACACGGAACACGTACATTATCGTTACGAGCCTCACTCACTGTATCTGCAATATGTTTTCAATAAAAAACACTGAATTTAAAATCATTTAATTACAATTCCATTTCGCAAACATTTATATAATAACTAGCTGACCCGGCAAACGTTGTTTTGCCATGTATATTATTTCTAGGATAATTTTTTTAGTTCAATAAAAATAGATATCTACAATAATAAAAAATAGGAGTTGATCGTAGAGGGTTGAAAATTAGGGGGTTTATGTATTTTTGTATGCTGTATCATTAAAAAAAATTCTAATGAATAAAAATTTTTTTTGGGGTGGACACTGGACACCCCTTATCACTTAGGGGGTTTAAAGATAGATTCTAGGTAGCTAATTCTCAGACCTACTAAATATGCATATAAAATTTGATAAAAATCGGTCAAGCCGTTTCGTAGGAGTACGGTAACTAACATTGTGACACGAGAATTTTATATATAAGATTTTTAGTTATTGATTTTTGGTTATGTACTAAAGTCGATTAAAAAAGAAAACAAGAGAGCTGTTTTTTTTCAAATTAAATTACTTCTTACCAGGTTTATCCTTACTGCTTTCTCTTTCAATAGTACAAGTATCGGGAGTCGAACTCCCGAATAGAGTGAATGCATCATCCATTAGTTCATTGAATCTTTGCCTCATGCGTGACGATGACGGCTCTTTGCGGGTCAGAGACTTCATAGGGCTGGATGTCTTTGAGGCTTAAAACATTACGTTGAAGATCGCGTATAAATTTATAATCACAATACAGGAACAAAAATGTAAAAAACACTTCAATAAATTATTTAAATATTGTAAAATATAAAGATAATAATAGAATAAAATAAGTTTAAATGAATATATATTTTTCTAATTTTAAAGCCTAAACCTACCATCTTTAATCCTCTGGCAATGCAGGTCCCATACTAGAGGTCCAATGACCCCTGGATCCTTATCAATGCTCCCCAAACGGACCAGCTGTGAGGGCATCTGGCGTCGAGGTACTGTGTCTTTGAGACCCTTGGGGCTGGGTATAGGGGAATCGATGTCCAGGTGTCGAACTGATATTGGTTCTAGAATACGGGACAGGGGTTCTACGATGTTGCCCCTTTGGAAATAATTTATAGTCAAATTATCATGTTTTATGATAAAAATTATTTTAATGTAATTTTAGTCTCACTCAAAAATTTTTTGGCGTCTGCATCAAATAATTATGTCATCAATATATTAAAAATAAGTATTTTCAATGTACCTAATGCAAGTTACTTTGTAAGCACAGTATTTTACTAATTATTTACAATTATTAAACTATTAATAGTTCCTTTTTTTTAACTTCAACTACAAAAATCAACACTCGCAGTAATTACAATTGACATTTGGAAATCATGGGAATAACTGTTTACAGTTAATTTTTAATTAAAACCGTTTGTTAATCTACATTTTAATGCGAGGTCACCAAGATCAAGTCCTTCTAATAATCGTATCACCTGGGAAAAGTAGTGACAGAAGGCATTGAAAGGTATGAGGTGGGTGTTGGGGGCGCGGAAGGTTGTCCGCTGTCAGAACTCTCAACTCCTGCTGCTTCGAGTAGACTGTCCGTTGTTCCCACTGACAAAGATTATATATACTTCACAAAACCATTCTCAGGACTTATTTTCGGTTCGTCGGTCTACTATTTTATATTTTCTTTAATATAAATTTCTTTATTTGGTATTTACATCATTTACTATACAGAAATGAGCTGAACAGAGCCATTTAGAGCAGCCCTGCGATTCTGTAACTCACTTTTCGAACTCACACAGCGGTTTTCGCATCGGCGGGTCTCAAATCAGTCGTGAAGCAGTCATTTTATGATTTGGCATTCTGAAAAGGTGGGAGCTTGTAGTTTATTGTTTATCAGAATGCCAAATCATAAAATGACTGCTTCACGACTGATTTGAGAGCGACCGCCGATGCGAAAACCGCTGTGTGAGTTGAAAAGTGAGTTACAGAATCGCAGGGCTGTATCTAAGTTCGATCCCCAGCTGTGCAGTAGACTTTCTATCTGCGCATTTAACACTTCCTCATACAGTGAAGGAGAACATCGTGAGGAAACCGTCAGCCCAAAAAGTCGACGGCGTGTGTCAGGCACAGGAGGCTCATAACTTATATAAAACAAACTAGCTGACCCGGCAAACAAAAATTTGTTTTGCCATGTATATTATTTCTAGGAAACATTTTTTCAGTTCAATAAAAAGAACTATCTACTATAATAAAAAATAGGGGTTGATCGTAGATGTGTGAATTAGCTGTATCATAAAAAAAAAAAAAAAAATACACCCCTTATGAGTTAGGGGTTTGAAAGATAGATATTAGCCGATTCTCAGACTTACTGAATATAAAATTTCATAAGAATCGGTCGAGCCGTTTCGGAGGAGTGTGGGAACGACAATTGTGACTCGAGAATTGAGATGTGACAACTGTGACGATTAGAGATGATCACGAAACAAAGTCTGAGACCTAAATGTTGTTTTTTTTTTAGGTACAGAAAAAAAAATAAAAAATCCTAGAAAAAAATTGAACCAACCTCGCTTCTTCTGCGGCATCCTGAGCGCGTGTGGTTTCTTTTGTCTACGTCGAAGTGCCACTATATCGGATACACTAGACGATGTTGTTGAGAACTAAAATAAATAATAAAGAAGCTACAAATTTCAACTAGACAAATACATAGTCTCCGATGGTACCGTATTAAAAAAAGTCATTTAAAAACGAAGAATAAGAAAAAGAAGAGAAAACAAGGCAAGATAGCTTTCATTTTGTCCGATCCTGTTTTGATTTTAAAACAGAGTATCCCAATCGTTCAATTTATGCTTAAAATTATATTTAAATAGTGTCTTATTTACCTTATATGCGATCTTTAGCAAGTTTAAAATATTATTTGAATTTTAACAATAAAATACGTAACCCTAGTTAAATACAAATAAATTTTGTTTGTCAACGCTTGACTCATGATTGGCTTGCTTTGGAGCATGACTACAAAAGGAATTAAATCTAAACTTTTTTAAAATTCACGCCATTTTCCTGAAGCAGTCGGCAGAGACCACGGATCTCCTTTTGCTACAGTCTGACATACCTTTCTTGCTATATCTACCGAGCATGTTGGTCGGTTATGGGAACTTTTAACTTGTCTCTAGTACCTAGTGAATTTGGTCCAGATAATTATGTCCAACAAGGCCTGCTCAACCCGACTTTACCATTTTCGTATTCTTGTCATTAGGTTCTGTATTAACCCACTCTGCTCACGTTTCTCATAGACACACACCCACACACATACCCACAATTTACGCACACACACATACCCCATGTGGTTTCCTTATATGTGTATCCCTATAAATATTGCAGCCTACGTAATGATGATTCTCACTAGATTTTTCTCTACTTTATAAGACCTGTCGATCCGAAGTGGTGGAGGCCTGATGACTTAGGTACTCTTACCTTTAGCAGGCATCAGTCTCACACAAACTAGCATTTTCCCTAAATAGAAGATAGACAATAATTATTTATGTATAATAACTGTCACTTGTTTATAAGTTAATTGTAAGTACTAAGTTTTGGTGAGAAAAATGAATAAAGATTATTATTATTACTTATCCTATCACGCAATCCTACCACACATACTTCTTAACTTAGCTCTCGTGTCCACGGCATTTATTCTACTTTCATTCTTTCTCTTCCTACGCATAGATTTGGTTTTGATTTACATATCACATCGACGTCCGTCGTTCTACAATTGAGGGTTTCTTAAGGCAGTTTCTGCCGCCCACCACCATTATGTGGAACCAGCTTCCCACTGAAGTATTTCTGTTCTGACTTAGGGTCCTTCAAGAAAAGAGCGTACCAATTCTTAAAAGGTCGGCAACGCACTCGCGAGCCATCTGGCATTGAGAGTATCCATGAGCGGCGGTATCACTTAACATCAGCCTGCCCGTTTGCCCGTACGGTAACTATGTTTTTTTTTTTAATAGAACAGTCTATTAAAAAAAAGGGTGCGTGTACTTATGTACGCGCGTAAGAAGTTATACTTTAGCATTATTAAAAATAGTTTTATGATTGCATGCAAATAATTAATTACAATTAAATAATCAAAGACTGGAAAAGGAGTCATTATAGTCAATAAAGTTCAGTTTACATTTGAAAAATTAAATAAATAAATATTTATTATTATTCTCTTACATTAAGTGTAACATAAATTCTATTATTATTCGAATGTTGTTTTTAAATTATGTCCAATGCCGTAGCATCTTCCGTGGGCAACTTCATTCTGTTAATTTTTTGTCACGGTGCGCGCGCATCGTGAAATTTCACTCTCATCAATTTTTCATAACGCACCTTAAGAAGTATAACTTCAAAAATTATATGTTTAATGTCTACTAATAATCTGTTCCGCCGACATTGTGAAGTAATTAAAGCGCTTGTCACACAACCCGATTTTGTTGGGTTCGATTCCCTGCCATACAGTTCTCTAGACACAAGAGAGAGATCACCACTATAATTTTTGATCTTAACTTAAGAAGTATAACGTCAAAAATTCATAGTTACCGTCCTTGGATGCCATAAAATTGTCATAATTTAATACAAAGCACAACAATTATGCAAGAAGTATACCTGGAAGCACTGCCCTTCCTGTAAATGGGAAGCAGAGCACTGCTTGGTCTTGTACGACTTGGAGACACCACGCTAACGAGCTGGAATAATAAAAACCATGTATAAAAGAACATATAAAGCATTGGGATTGGATATTAGAATACCTTTCCGTTATTCTCTTCGCGAACATAAGCTCGGTTTCTCTCTATTTCCTGCATCAGTTCATTTCTGTACGCACGGAGGGATGCCGCTGATTTAATTGACTTTTTGCTGAAATAATTGATTTATAATTATGTTTACCACTTATAATTTATAAGTTACAAACAAATTGTGAGGTGTAAATAAATCTGAATCGATTGTAGTGAGAGCCAGTGCTTGAAAATTTATGGATTTCTGTCTTTTTTTTAAATTATATTTAATACTGAAGGAAGAAGAAGAGTTCAATATTGAATATAAATTTCGATAATCCGCTATTATGTACTATATTGGGAGAAATAACTCCCAATAGCAACCTAGATAGATCGCAAAAAGTCAAAACAAGAACTTCTTAATTTATATTTTATAGTCGAGTTAGTTTCTAGTTATAGTAGATACATAATTTTAATGTAGCTTTTGTTTAGAACGTTTAAGAATAAGAAATAGGTGATCGGCCTCCTGTGTTTCCTCCTGTTTGGGTTTCGGGATTTTTAAATGCGCACATAGAAAAAAAGTCCATTGGTGCACAGCCGGGGATCGAACCTACGACCTCAAGGATGAGAGTTAGACGCTAAAGCAACTAGGCCATCACTGCTCTGTTACGACTATGAATTAATACTAATTTTAAACTACCAGTAAAAATAATACTCACCGATGTGCAAAACACAGTAAGACAAAAATAATGATCAATAAGAGAACGGCAATTGTGGAGCCCACAGCGAGGGCCCACAGTTCAGTTCCATGGATGGTGGTGGGTGCTTCGCCCTCCAGTCCCTCTGCTGCTCGAAGATACGCTGCTGATTAACAGTATCAACTGGATTCACATATTTCAGACTCTCTTTCTCGAAAAGTGAAGTCAAGAAAAAGATTTTCAATCTAAATTTATACTGCTGATCTTCTTCATCAATTATAGCAAATGGTGATCCTCTCTTAATCATTAAAACTTGGTGGAATAATCATGTTTATAACTCAGAGTTCCAAAGTCTGATTACTTAAGAAATTGTTACATTAAAAATCTGTTGTCTGATAAATAATAAGTTGTTATTAATTTCGGTGTTTTGAAAGGACAGCTCATCTATGACAGAAATGACGTAATGGGAAATGATTTTCCTTGAAAACTTCGTGTTATAGGTCCTTGGTAATTCTTTCAAGGGTCATATACTCACGTTCAGCCTTAGTCGTGACCACAGCTCCAAGTTCCTTTGCCACCTCAGCATCTCTCACTAATCTCATATCTCTGGCCGCTACAGCTGCTGGTACGGCTCTACCACCCACAAGTACTACATACACTATTTGGACACTACCAGTTTCAGCTGACTGTAAGACAAAAAATGCGTATGAAAAACAACGCAGCAAACTTTAGTTCTCTTAGTCTCTCTCTATTAGTCTGCTTTAAGACAAGAAGATATTCAAGTTAAATTGGTAAAATAAATGAGAAGGAAGGATAAAAACTGATACAGTAGATAATTAAGTGTACGATAGGGGTTCGACAATTATCAGTAGGTAAATAAATTACTATTTTTGTAGCTTATCATGAATAACAATAGTCTAGAAAGACTTGCCAGTAATAAAGATGAGCGTGAGGCATAACTTCTAAACTACTCCTTTTAAATTTCATCCTTATCACCTCGATATATTTTAAAGGCTGGCGACACACCTGTAAAATCCAGGTGTTGCAGATAGGGCTAGAGGTGCTCTGTCTCACATAAAGAAATAAGTCAAGCTAACACTTACCTCGGTTATATTCTGAATATGAACCTGCACTGGCGGTTGCTGTTCCGGCTTAATAATTTCGCGCTTGAACAATATTGTCTCATTATTACTCTCTTCTAGAGGTTCAATGTCTTCTCTATTCATATCTATCTCTTCAGCTTCTCTTGTATCTCTTTTACGAATCACCTTAGTTGGAGTTACTAGCACCCAAGCTATTTCCTCTACTCTAGTTGGTTCTATCTCTGATATTAATGACTCCATACTATTCGCTAAAAACATTTCCTTATCTATAGTTGAAACACTTTGTATGGTATCTATGTTTGTCATTGAACTATGTATATCGTTGATCGGGCTTATTTCATTATTCTTATTGACTATAAATGAGTGTACGTCATGCTTCTTTCTTGCTGTTGTGGCGTCTAGTGATTTAATTATGCCGAGGTGTTTTTCCTGTTGCCTGAAAATTTAACATTATCCCACATTTCTTGAGTAAAACAATTAAGTTTTCACAGTCATAAGTAGTATAGTTTACAATATAACTGTTCTATGCAACTGAAACGTATATTTTTTAAAATCAAACTATCTAATTTAATCCGTAGAAAAATGGTTTACAATACTGAAGAGAAACTTGGACATGCCCAGAATTTAGAAAATATATTCTCTTTTATTTTTGCTCAAAAACTGAAATGGCATTGGGTTGGCCATGTAGTGAGAATGTCTAGCAGAAGGTGGACCAAACGAGTAACCCAATCGAAAGTACCACCAGACAAGAGGCGGAAGGGGAGACCCTTAGACCGCTGGGAAGATGATCTGAAAAGATCAGCTGGCATAAACTAGCACTCCACAGCACAAGACCGATAAAAATGGGCATCTTTGAAGGAGGCCTTTACCCAAACCGGGGTTCCTGTTAATTCATAAATAAATAATATATATATACTACTAACATAATCTAAGCTAAACTATTAACAAAAATAATTTTTTTGGTTACTGAAATATAGCAACTACCAACTATACTAAACAGGAAATAAAAAGGCTTATTATTACTTTTATTTTCTTTTATATAATCGCATTCTTAGTTAGTAAATACACAATATTAAAAATAAGGCATGAAAATAATAGTAATACTCAGATATATTAGACACCTCCATATTAGGCACATCTACTTACCTCAAGAAAGCTTTCTGATACAGCCTTGCAAGCCGTAGCTGCAGACTATCTGGCGTTGACCCTTGTATGACTGTGAGAAGCCAGTACCGCCTGTCTTCTGGGATCTCAGGCTCTAGCCCTTCTGGTGACTCACAATTGACCACGCATTCACCCGTCTTGTCTGTCACCGCCTGAAGCGACACTCTGCCGTTAACGGAATTGACTTACCCTCTGACTTTAACAGTTACATAAAGAACAAGCTATGTTCAATTTAAAGAGTGGCGGACAGTTTATTGCCAGTTCTTCTCTTCCGTTCTACGATTCCTTGATTTGAGAACAGTGGCAGTAAATGTAAAATTAGAAGCATTCATATTTATTTATGTTTTGACGTTCATAAGTGTACATTGTGTTACCTATATGATTAAATGATTTTGAATTGCATTGTTCCGAAAGGGCGTTAGAGGAGAGTTTTGTTCATTGGATTTTTACTTTAAAAAAATTAAATGAAGGTCCCAAACTACCAGAAATACTAGTTTGAATCTAACTAAATAATTTGTTAACTTAAATATTTTGTGCGCGTGAATTAAACTTGTCCTACACGGCTGGACCGATTTTCATGATTTTTTTGTGTATTCAAAATGAGGTTAAGATTTACAAAATGATTTTTATTAATTTAAGACTGACACAAGGTGTGTCGGGTCGGCTATTATTACCTGTGGCGGATATGAATCCAAGTACACCGTAGCAAGAACAGTAGTAGTCCGAACAATTGGTGAACTTGGTACAGGCGCGGGCGCAGACAAATCTGGTGGAGGAGGTCCATCACCCGATCCTGTCCAGAAGAAATCCTCCAACCGGGGTGTTTCGGCGTGCTGGTCTGATGATAGTAGCATGTACACTGAAAAATACTTTAGCATTTACATTTATTTTTATAATTTTAATACTATACTTACTCGTAGGTACTATATGTATATAACCTTAAATTATTTTGATGCTTGGACTTTAATAGTTATGTCTATAACTAGTCTATACTAATTCGCAGATAAATAGCAACATTCTTTTATTATATAATAATTAACAATCATTTGGCGGAGGAGGAGTAAAGAAGGATTAAGGAGCAGTGATGGCCTAGTGGCTTCAGCGTGTGACTTCCTTGAGGTCGTAGGTTCTATCCGGCTGTGCACCAATGAACGGTAAAGAAAAACATCGTGAGGAAACCGGCTTGCAAAGGCGTGTGTCTGGGCACAGGAGACTGATCACCTACTTGCCTATTAGATTGACAAATGAACATGAAACAGATACAGAAATCTGAGGCCCAGACCTAAAAAGGTCGTAGCGCAACTGGTTTTACTAACGATCATTTAATGGACTACCTTTAATTCAGCAAGTAATTTTGTAATCTATACATATTAATGCCTATTCGAGTTGTTCAAGTCTAGTTTAAAAGCAATAAAGAACTGAAAGGTTTTTGTGTTCTAAGCATTTGCCATGTTTTAATGACAGTTGAATCAACATTTTGGGTGCATCGCGTGAGCTTCCCCATACCCCATACAATTTATTGGCTTCACTATAAACTCCTTAATTCTGAATCATATCTGGATTTGTGTGATATTTTCTTTTGTTTTTAAGAAAATAATTTTACTATCAAAGTTGAACATATTAACTTTTGTTGCGATATTTTGATAACGTTTATCTTACTGTTTACTATATCAGGGTTAATAAATTACTATGTGTAGCGACAGCTACAATCTGCGCTTACAACACTGCAATGAAACCGTGTTTCAAAGCAAAACCACGTAATTCCATAGAGTCGCAGGTTTGAGCGACACACATACAAACATGCGCGAAATATGTAGCTACTCAAATAAAATCTTTAATTACACTAATAAAAACAATAATCTAAAAGCCTACAACAGACTAGCGATAGGATAAGTTATATCAGAGTTGTTTTTATATAAGCATATTATTGATTAAAAAAAACTAAAAATAGATGCGGCCTGGCAAGAAATTGTATCAAAAGTCAGTTAGTCTCCATACCATGAAATATGAACGCAGATATTTAAATGATATAAATAAAACTAGTTTAGTTTTAACGAATTCCATTGATGAAATTAATTACAATTAATAAACATAAATATTTCTTGTAATGACTTGCTTAAAATCAAACAAAAAAAGCTGCTTATAAAAGTTATGAATAAGCTTTACATTACGTGATGTAAGTTGTAACCGCTCTTGCTATTAAATTGAAGCAACGACGGAGCCAGGCGGTACCATCCTAGAGGCTTTGTTTGGAAGTAAACGCATTTCCTTAAATATATTGCCGTACATTTAAAAACCAAGAAAAACTGTCATTTAGAGATTTTAGTAAATTTTTCAAGTCAAATCTAGGATATTTTATTATAATAATCTATAGTAGCATTATTATATAGACAAAGTTAAAAATGGAAATGGACAGGTCACATTACCCGCGTTTGTGATGACAGTTGGTTTAAAAATACCCTTTCTTGGAATGGCACGTTGAGAAAAAAAAATGGTGCGTGTACTTATGTACGCGCGTAAGAAGTTATACTTCTTTGGCTTTCTTTATTTTTTTTAAATATTAAATAATTAATAATAAATATTTAGCGTTAATAATTTAACAATATTTAATATTTAGTATATTATTCAATTATTAATTAATATTAATAATTATTATTTATTATTTTATTATTATTTGTTTAAAAGGTACTACAAATGTCATTATGGTCATTCAAAATTCTTGGCATAGCTGCTAACGTCACGCATATTCTATTTCTTTTTACTTGTAGATTGTCTTATTCCCATCTCGCTCGCGCACGCTCGGCGCCCATACTGATAATTTTGTGTCACGGTGCACGCGCATCGTAAAATTTCACTCTCATAAAATTTTCATAACGCGCCTAAAGAAGTATAACTTCAAAAAGAGATGATGCCCGCCTGAAACCTGGGAAGTTGGAATGAAAGGGATCAGGGAGGCATTGGAAAATGGTTGCGAGGATGAGAGACAAGTGGAAGAATTAGGAGAAGGCTTTCACTCCGACGGTGGTCGAGGTCTCATGTTAAACATAATGACATGGACTACATGTAATTCCTGATTATGTTGTACTCGAATAAAGGCTATTTTTATTAATATTATTTCTGGAAGAACAGGCTCATGATGTTGAATCAAACTTAACGAAATCGAAGTAATTGATGAACACGTAACAAAATAAAAGCTTTCTTTGTCATCTCTCTTTACTAAGCTCAATGTATGTTACGGTTTGCGGAAATTTATGTTTTTAATGAATACGTGTCATTTGTCAACTGTAGTTTAGTTCTAGATAAATAAAACGTCGCGTAGAATAAGTGGTAATAAGTCCCGTCCCATGCCTCCGAAATTATTCGCCAAAACAAAAAATGCCTGAATAATATAAGCTTTCAAATAATACTACATATTCTCCCAAGCTACAAATTGTAGGAAGCTCTTCTATCAAAATTACTTACTACATACATAGGTTCCTCAATGCCCCGTAGACAGTTCGAAAAATACCAAGCATACGGTGTAAAACGTAAGGCAAATGGTGAAAGCGTCATAAATCATTTTTAAAATACCTACTTAAATAAGAGGTCAGTGTTATTAAAAAGTATAACCTAATTTATTGACCTGATCAGCGACCCATTGAAATCATTACTAGGTGTATCGGTACATCCGGTGTAACCGGGTTTTACATAATGATGGAAAATATCCATATAAATGGTACAATTTGACCAGCAGCCCTTTTGTTATTAGCGGAAGGACAAATATACACCGGCGGCTGCGCACCCAACCGTGACCTAATGGAGTAGCGATTTTAGTCATATGTTTAATGGAAAATGATTTCATTTTTTCTATAAAATTAACCTCAATAAACAATAATTATTGTTTCATGAAGCATAAGAAGGGATTGCTCTAATCTAAAAAATCTATGAATTATCTCTTCCCCGGCACGTAAAAGGAATGAAAAGGGATGAAATAACAAAAAAAGTACCAATATAGCGCTGGCAATAAAATTTTATTTCTATTAAGTTAAAATGTACTTACTGTGATCTTCATAACCTTCAGTAAAAAAAAGTGTCACTAATATACTCAATATAATAAAAATTAAATAATTCCATTTAAACATATCGCCACTGGAAGCTTCTTCACGAGTATATTAATAGAAACATATTTTTTTATCAGTCGCACGTAAAGTAAAACTTAAATTAATTCTAAACCTATACTATTATTTGGATAAACAAAATGAATACCAACGATATAAAGTTAACAATAAAACGCCTCAACGCACTGCGACTCGTTCTTCGGTCATGTGGAGTGAGAATTGTTTTTCGTTGCTAAGCAACAGCTTTAAATAACGCGCGAGAATTTAAATCAATGACATTACCGAGAGCACAGATCATAAATAGTAATAAACAGAAATACTATCACACAGAGTGCCGAAATGTAAATGGCATTGATAAAAGATGTTCGTTCCATTTTATGGTATTAAAATACATTAATTGAAGAACATTAGTTGGAAAGAAATTTACTTACAACTTGTTTAAATTATTAAGCGTGACTGTGTGAGCAAAAACTTATTTTTTGTTATAGTAATCTGGCAAGATAAAGTGGCAACTCTAAAGTGTAATGTCACTTTCCTTGTTTACTTCTATATTGCCACATTAAGGATTTTTCCTATTTCTTGTGTTTAATTTCGTATTTTAGTGTGAAATCAAGAATAATTCACGATAACCATTACCGCACACTAATTAATTTTAAAGAATATAAAGCGAATATCACTAACCTTTCATAAAAAATTTCATATTTTTGGACAAAGTTCAAATATTGAATAAAAAGTGTATTCTTTATATGTAGAAAAGTATTTATAGGCAATAAAATTTATGAGAAACATTCTATGAGATAAGATGCGAGACACGCTTCACTTTTTAAAATTGTAACTTGCAACACTGACTGGCGGCCATTTGAATTTCTGTCAATCTTTCAATTCAGCGCCATTCGGGAGAGTTCGTCGTTTCTGTTCGACGGACTTTGTGCGACGTGTACGGGTGTGTGCGAAAGTATGAAGTGAAATCGTACCAAAAGTGTGTGAAATGTTTAGTGTTAGTTTTTACTGTGCATTGAATTCAAAATGAGTGCGAACGGATAATCTTTTTTCCATTGTTTGACCCAAAATACTTTGAACATTCGCAGTACACGTAACATTTGGTATGAACTGTTTCAAAATGGCTGTGTTTTGAAGGACCCTTTGTTTGCTTTCGTGTGCTTCTCCAGCATGATATTGGAATCATACAGACAGAATTTTAACTTTGCAAGGTGAGGAAACTATTTGACTGCAATTTAGACTGAGAAAATTGTGTGGAAAATTACTGGTTCTCACGGAATCTCGGCGTCGCTTATTGCTTTCTACTGAGCGATATCAACCGCTCACTGGCTACGTGTGAGTTTCTAAAAGCATTTTATATACTTTCTGTTATTGTAATGTACTATTTATTATTATTTTGTATGACTTTAAAGTATATCTTTATAATGTTTTCACCACACTTGATTAAACCGAGTTTGACTTGTAATCCATGATTTATGTAAATAAAACCAGGAAACCAACTTCACTCTTATTAGAATTAAAAACTTGTTTCTATAAGAATTAAAATATGTTTAATGGCTAGAATTATTACCATTTTTATGTATAAGACCTAACGTGAATATTTCGAAGGCAACTTGATGTTACAGACTAAACAGCTGTTTTTTATTGAGACATAGGAACAAGCTAAAATAAATGTTGAAATGTTAAAGCGTGAATTTTAAATGGTTTTTGTAACTAAGGTATCTAATAAGCTAGATACCTCTGCAGTAATAACCAAA